TTTATATTCGTTCTCCTACGCCTAAATTTTATTGCATTTATTAAACTTATAATCTTTTATATTGCTTTCTGCAAAATCATAAATAAATTTTAGTATTTTAAAATGGAAGTTGCGAAAAATCGGTCATTAATTCTAATTCTCCTTTAATTCTGTGCTCTATAAGCTGCGTCTTTATATATTTGATTATGAATTGAAAAGATTCTAGCGAGAGTTGACTTGGTTTGCCTCTTTTTTGTAACTTTTTTATGAGAGGTATCCACCGTATTTCGTTTGAAGTTTGTTTGATTTCATCACAATTATATTGCCTTGCTTCCCCAAAAAGTATTCTCATCCAAGGTAGATGGCAGTTTCGACCTCGCCTAGGTCTCATCAGCACCTCCGGCTGGACAGTGCAGCGTACAATTTTACCAAGCTAATTCGTACGTCATATTCTCATTATGTCACCTGCCAGATATTAATTCCAAGGAAAATCTGACATTTTCACATATCACATTCAATTGTGAGATTATCGATGAAGCAAAGTTGCATTTGCTACAGAAATCGGTGACGTTACTTATTTTTGGTAAGCAGGCTTTCGAGACTATGGGTAGATCATATATATGAGAGTTATTCACTCTACAAGTCCCCTTATCGTCTTAGACGAAATATGGTAAATACAATATATATATATATATATATATATATAATACTGGTAGCCTCGGATGCCTGCTTATTTAAACAAAAAATAAGCAAAAATATGAAGAGTAAGATTTATAGACTCCGAATTTGCACTTTGGTCACATGGACGAAAAAGCCGAAAGGGTTTCCGAAGTTTATAAACCAGATTGATGAAAAAATTAAATTCACGATGGAACTAGAGGAAGGTGAGCGGTTACCGCTCCTGGATGATATTGAAATGATTCGCTCTAATGGGACGCTCAAAAAGAAATTGTTCGGAAAGAAGTCTTATACTGAGATAATACTCAATTTCCGGTCCCATCACAATTACGGGCTAAAGATAGAAATAATAAGGAGCATGATCATCCGAATCCTACGTTTAACGGATGTGGAATTCTGGGACGAGGAGTTGGACAAATTGATATTTCTCGGCAATGGCTACCCAAGTGAAGAAATACAAAGAAACATACGGGCCGTCAAAAGCTGATGGCAGAACGGGTACTATGTGAAGGATTTACAAAATTGGATATGTCTACCTTCCTGCGAACTAACTCAAAAACTACGGCGAATATTAAGGAAATGGAATCTTCTGGGGGCCATGAAAAATAAA